GCTTCTCTGGCTTCCTGTAGGTCCTGTTTTAAATGCTCAGCTTCTTTGGCCCTGTGAAGCCAAATTATCATCATAAGCAAATCAATCCTCATTTCTCAAAGACAGTCCTTAACTAATGCCCGGAAAGCACAATAGGCTTCAGTCAACTTTGATAATAGATGGGATTTCTGTGGCTACCTCATGGCTCAAAAGCAAAACCTAAGAGAATACATGCTATTAGGGAACCATGGTAACTGCTAAACCTCAGTTCATTAAGGATCTCACCATATTAATTCCTGATTTTTTTTCTATACACAGAAAGATTACAATCATAATATTAAGAAAATAATTGGGAGATTAGTAGAAAAGAGGTAATTATTCACTTGTTTCCACATTCATGTGCAATTTTAAAACTTTAAAATGTGTGGATTTAAATACTATTGTTTAAATTTTAATTTGTAATTTAAATATGCAGTTTAATGATAACTACAATCAAAAACAATTAGAAATACTTCTTTAAATATAATTTTAAAATTACTTTTTTATATAAGCATGAACTTTTGCTGTTTATACTGCCAAGAATCCCTCTAACATTCAGGAACCAGAATGCCAGCAGGATACAGTCCAAAAAATCAAGATGTGTCACAAATTAAAAAAAAAACTGATTCTTGATGACTTCACAAACACATCCAAGGAGTTTTCTAGAGTCTAGGCAGCTTTCAGAAATGCAGGTCCTTGACATATGACCATGTGACTGACCCAATTTTATGACCTTTTTAGCAGTGATTATTAAGCAAATACTATGATTATTAAGGAAATCCATTGTTTACTGTGGCATTGTCTTGCTAAAAACTAGGATTAACTTCCGGTTTTCAGCAAAACCATCATAAAACAGTCAGAACACTGTTGCTGGAACTTTGGAGCAGTCATAACTCCCTTTTTCCAGATAGGCTGTAACTTCAAATGGTTGCTAAGTGACCAATCATATAAGTCAAGGACTACCTGTACACATATTTTTTTCATCAAAAACACCTGAGGAAGCACATGCAGAATGACCAACTAAGTTTCTAGCATGGAGTGTCACCTTCGATCGGACTCCTTCACCAGCTTCATGGCAATCAGCTCGGCCTCCCTTATCTTGTGCTCCATCAGTCGCTTCTCCTCGCTGGTTTTCAAGGCCGCCAACTCCAATCGATGGCGCTCCTGCTCTGCTTCGGCAGCATTCTGAGCCAACAGCTTGGCTTCCTCCTCAGCTATCTGAGCTTTCTCAGCCAGCAATTCTGCTGCTGCCTCTGAACGGCGCTGGAAGAGAATTTAAAAACAAGCATCTCATATGATAAGCTGCCCAGAGGCTCTGTGGATAATGAGATGGTGGCATATCAATTTAAAAAATAAATAAAATAAAATAATAAATGAAATGAAATGAAATGAAAATTTTAAGTGGGTGCAAAATGAAGACACTTAATAAACCAGAAGCCCTTGGACCACCTACCACTAGGCTTCATTACCACAGCAATGCTCACCAGAGCCTCATTAGCTTGCCGAGCTTCATCTTCCACCTCAAAGAGGCGTCGTTCCAGTTCTTCTTTGGCTCGCTCGGCTTCCTCCCGCAGTTGCTTCTCCCTGGCCAGCCTCTGGTGCTCCATCTGAGGGGAATGAGCGAGGTTGGACATCTGCAAGAACTGCACAACGCAATGCAGCCAGGCTCACCTTGTTCTTGTTTTTCCAGTCCTCCTCTTATAGTACATACTTTTCAACTGTAACCTTCCAGGGGCTGGGACCTATCCTTTGCAAACCCTATCCAGTCATCTTACAAATCAATCTGCCAAAAATTAACTGCAGGTTTACATTACTGATTTCATATTTATTTGTAGTGTAGGGTTTGTTTTTTTTACTGTCCAGGAATACTTCTCTGGAGTAGGAAAATCTGCACAGCAAACAGCACAACAGATACAATAAAATATCAGAAAGTAGAGAAGGAGGAAGCTCTGGTTTTTGTTCCTGACTTTTTTTAAAAATAAAATAAAACCCATGTATTAAACTTCTCACCGTTATATATACAGAAGGATTCAAAATAGATCAAAATCTACTTTTCTTTTAAAAATAACTGCAGACCCCTCACATTCTGGACATGTATTGTTTCAATTCCTTCCCTCCGGATGCTGCTATACGGTACTACATACCAAAACAGCTAGACACAAGGACAGTTTTTTTTCTCCTTCATGCCATTCCCATAACTCTACTGAACACCTAACCTTCACAGTATTGCTTTATGTCTCAGTACTCTATATTCCCCCACAATGAATGGCTGTAGAATTATTATTATCCTTCTCACCTTCTCTACTATCCTCTTGTATTGGTATTATTATGATTATTATTACTCTCTTGTACACTGAGATTTTCTGCATCGAAGAAAAATTCTTTGTGTATCTAATCACACTTGGCCAAATATTCTATTCTTTGAATTCTACTCAATGTTCCAAGCACGTTGTCCACTTTAATTTTTCAGTGAGACTCAATAACCAATATAGTGTGGCAAAAAGTCATTAGAATTATAATGATAATGATATATATCTGATCATTTTCTGCCAGCTGAGCAGCTTGGAAGTGAGTGCAAACTTTGTGAAATCCTTCAGCGTTTGAACCAGTTCTAAGAGTCACCTTCTTTCTTGCTTTCTCCTCCCTGGCTTGAGCTTTCATTTGCTGGATCTCAATGGGGTCCACTCGCCTCCTTCTCATGAATAAATCATGGTTTCCAATGAAGAGTTGCATTATCTGCAAGAAAGGAGAAAAGAAAATGTCTTCCTGGAACTATCCAAGAGGAGTCTAGTATCCTGTTTCCTTCAGTGGTCTGTCACATATGTCTGGGAAATTCAGAGTATAAAGGGAAACTCAATTTAGTTCTCCAGGTAAACCTAAAATTCATCTCTGATTGATTTGGTTTTCAGCAACCACTATGTAGGAAAATATTTAAAAAAAAACAGAATGCCATCCCATTCTGATATTATTTCCTGAATGCCCTCAAAAGGTCCATTGATAACCTCCATATCTGTACTTGGCTTGGACCTGACAGAAGATGATTTTCATTTAGGACTGTTATAATGGAGAGATACATGTTTCTCTCATATATGTTTCTAAGTTGCTATGTTTCTAGATTGATGAAGGAATGTACAGAACTTGCATGTAGCATGTGCATATCTTGATAACTGACAGAGATTTTAAGGGACAAAAGGCATAATTATGCTGTAAATGTTAAGTCCTGAATGAGAATGTTAAAAGATTCCAAATGGATCCTTCCCCTTTGATGTTTAGAACATTTCAAAAGATTCAGCTGTTCCAACATACCCTAGGAACTGAGGAGAATGATTGATCTTTCTACCAATAAATAATAATTCTATTTTGTTTGAGTATGGTGTATTTCCAGTTCTATGCATATGATTTGATGGATGTTATAGATTTTGCCCTTTTGTTTTCATGTTCATGTAACAGAGGTAGGAACTGTATATTGCTCAAAGGCAGTTCTGACTGGAGCAGTCTATAAACACTGTAAGATAAATAAATTTTCACCTAATTTGGCTCTCCTAGCTATAGGAAGTGGAGCAAGTCTTACCCTGCATGTCTTAATGTCTAGATAGGTATATGCCAGAAAAAAAGCACTCCCCCTTTTGCTTTCTCACAATCATTTATGGCTTGAATCGTTATTACTAAAAATAAAATCATTCAGCAAAGTCTAGGCAGCCAGTCCAATTCAGTGTCACATGATCTTTGTTCCAATTGAGCATAGATTGGTATGGCCATTATTATAATGGGGCATGTTTATAATGGGACAGAAATAAGAGAACCACACTCCCACCAACACTGGCAGGACAAGCTACTATACATAAACAGAGCAAAGCCTACATTCACTCACACTGATGATATTACCTAATCAGGTAATGAAATGTCTACATGAAGACAACCAACTCAGAGAGCACCATGGATTCCACAGATTGTCTTCTATATAAGACAGCACTCACCAGTTTATTGACTTTAGGCTGTGAGGAGAAGAACTTGAAAACCTCGGCTTTTTTGTCAATAGGTTTAATTATAAGCTGAAAGAAAAAAAGACAGTGTTTTTTAAAAATGATTATATACTAAATGCATATCGGGGTGGGATTCTATCAGTTCGCACCTATTCTCTAGAACCAGTTATTTACATTCTAAGCAGTTCGGAGAACCGATTGTTAGAAGAAATTACTGGCCTAATCCTGTAAGGAAGGTAGGAAGGAAACATTCTGGTGTTGCTTACAGAAACTGCCTCTCCATTAACCCTTATTACATTCTTGGGAGGACTAGACTTCCTGTCTCTGGAACTTCTCTGGAGTTTTTTCCCCCTCCTTTGCTGGTACTTTGCTTCTGCAGGGTGACCATTCAAAGTTACAATGGCACTGAAAAAAGTGAATTATGACCATTTTTCACACTTATGACTGTTGCAGCATCCCCACAGTCATGAAAGGCCAGTCGAGGAGATGCATGCCTTGATGTGAGTGATGTTGAGTTGGCCACGCCCAGCCAACATGACCACCAAGCCATGTCCACCCAGTCACATGACCACCAAGCCACACCTACCACCTGAGCCACACCCACACAACCGGTTGTTAAAAAATTTGAATCCCACCCCTGATGCATATGTACAAAATGTGCTTCCACTGGAGACCCGTGGAAGTTTTATAGCATTAAAAACAACCATTCTAACAAAATAATAAAAAATAGGCATAATAGAAAAAACAGTGATATGTTTTTCATAAATATGTAGCAAAAATGCAATGAAAAATCATCCTCTCTCCCTCCCCTGTTGCCACCGCATTGCTGAACTGCAAGGCCAGAAAGCTTGGAGACTGCTGCCATGGCACATCCACCTACCTCTTTATCAGAATAAGAAATATTTTGGATGCTGCTCCACTCAAAAGACTTGTTAGGAGAGAAGCGGTTATTGATGCTGTAGACATGAATCCCTTTGGCATCTACCCCAAGCAGGAAGTCTGTATGATTCTTCCTTTGCTGCAGAGAAGTCCAAGGTTAAAATCAATACATTCATCTTGTGTACTGACTAACACTGATGATATCATTTTATTTGGGTAAATGAGACATCTGCAAGAAAACAACCTACTTGAGAGAGCACCAAGGATCCCCCATTTCAATCCTGAGCTATAAATATTCTCCTTTGTTGGTTAATATATTCACTGTCTGACATCAACCAATTACAACTTAATTTGACCTAAAATGCACATTTCATAGTTCCAGGTTCATGGCACAGATATTCCTCAACTTATGACCACAATGAAGTCCAAAATTTCTATTGCTAAACAGGGTGGTTGTTAAGTGAGTCGTGCCCAATTTTACCACCTTATTTGCCATGGTTGTTAAGTGAATCACATAGTTGTTAAGTGAATCCAGATTCCCCCATTGACTTTGCTTGCGAGAAGCTGGTTGGGAATGGTTATCCGTGACTCCAGGACACTGCAGACATTGTAAATGCATACCCGTTGACAAGCACCTAAATTTTGATCACATGATGATGGGAACTGTCATGCCCGTTGGGAGTCTGACTCTGAGGGAGAGGAGGAATAGCCGACAGGGAGTGGAAGTGTGGCTCCGGAGGTTGTGGAGGAGGCCGGGCAGTCAGAGGAAGACCCAGGCCCATCCCCTCTCCATCCTAGGGCACGAAGGGAGGAGAGGATAAGGGAGAGACATGAATGGTGTGGTCTACAGGGGAAGAAAGGGCCTTGATCCTCTTCATGGGCTGCAGCTGTGAGAACTGGTTAAAAGGAAGGACATGCGTATGGGCCAGTGCTGGAAACAAAGCGTGGAAATATCTCTAGTCTGTCGTTCCTCTCTGAGTTTGGCGTCCTTCCCAGTGTGTGTTCTGATATCTGTGGACGTCTTCAAGCCCTTATCTTGCCTGGTTCCCTTAATTGCTTCAGTGTGGTTTGTGTTGTTTTTACTCTTTATAATTTATAGGCATTTTTAGTTTAAACGGCATTTCCTCCTTTTCGTAACTGCTTGTGGGGGAGTTTTTTGCCTCCAGTCCATGATATTTGGAGCTTTGAAGCAAAATGAAGGAATAAAAGGGGCTTCACCTGTTTTTGTGACTGTGTTTATTTTGTATCCCACCCTGGGTCATTACAGGAACACTGCAACAGCTGTACTATAAGTGCAAGAACTGATTGTAAGTCTTTCTTTCTTTCTTTCTTTCTTTCTTTCTTTCTTTCTTTCTTTCTT